GTCTCGGAAGTAATTCCATCCCCTGCTAGTTAATTCTCTTCTTTTTTTTTTTTTTTTTTTTTAAGCTAGATCTCTACCTCATTGCCTGGCATTAATGAATTTTTAGTAATATAAAGAGCAGATGAGAAGTGAAGAACTAGCTTTTAAATGAGTTGAAAAGCCAGCAGGCCACTAAGGAGAAGAGGTGAGTTTGCAAGCTCTTCCTGTAGTTATACTTAACAAGATGCAGCCAAGCAAAAGGAAGGTTGGCTTTTCAACACCCATTGTTACCACAGTCAAGATTCTGGGTAGGCTTGGAGATAGGGTAGCTGCCTCTACCATTAAGACTAGGATCCTAATTCAGTTCTTTCAATTTAATCTTTTAACTGTCCTGTGCAGATCTATCATTTTTAAAACATGAACATTTATACCTGATTCTCTTTAGTTTTCCAGTAGAGAAAAAGTTTATATTATACTTTATATTCATAGCAAACTCAGCAAAAATTCCAGATGATATTTTATACCCTCAGTTTAGATTTCTACTAAGTGGCCAATCATCCTGGTTTGCCTGGGGTTTTCCTGGGTTTAGCAAAAAAGTTCTGCATCTCAGGAAACCTCTCGGTCTCAGGCAAAAGGCCACCCTAAAGCAGTTTCCTGGATTCCTGTGTTAGCAGGACTATCATGGAGAGCTGTTAGAATTAAAAATATTGTAGCTTATCTTTCCAGAAGATCTTCATTCCATTCCAATCACCTATAGTTAACCTTGTTGATTTTATAACTGCAAAGTGCAGGTCACAAAGCCTTCTTTAGCCCAAGGATAAGCATTCAACACTTAGCAAAACTCCTCATACAGCAATTATTCTCCCAGGATTTAGAAGAAAAACAAAGAAATGTATACATTACCTCCACATTTATTTATAATAGCAAAAATTGGAAAACAATTTAAATGTCCACAATGGGGATTAATTTAGTGGAATATATTCTCTTCATCTAATGGAAAAATACACAGTCATTAAAATGATTTTTTTTTAGCAAACTATCCAATGACATAGGAAAAGTCTTTTAATATAGTATTAATATGATAATAGATATGAAATTACATCTACTCCAATGGAGACAAAAACACTGGGAGGAAATATATGAAAAATGTTAAAAATAGGTTATGTTTAGATGGTCAGTGTGTATTTTATACTTTATTTATAATCTGCATAAGAAAATGATTGCTGAGAAAACCATTAACAGATCAGTTGTTCTTGAACATTAGTTGCCTAGAGCTCATGTTTTCTCAGTCAGATTTCCTGGTTCTGCCTTCAAATATTCTGAATTAAGATCGAAGTGAGGCTCTGGAAACTGCAATTCAAACAATACCTCAGAAGATTCTAATGTATGTGCCATGAACTACTTGGAAAAACTCTAACTGGGAGTATGCCCGTTTTTAATCTATTTGTACGTTGTTTTATTCTAGCAAGTTGGTCTAACATGCAGATAGAAGAGGTGGTTCTATAAGTAGTGGAATGTTAAAGCACCATCAGCTGCCCAGCCTGTATCCCAACCACTGATTATGATTCAAAGTTTATCATTGATTGGATATTTATTCCTTTAACCTGTGATTTAACACCAAGGGATTACTATCAGAATCACTTTTGGAGATTTGTAATTGTATGCATTTATTTTTTCTTTAGGAACAATAAGGGAAAGGCTAATCACACAGGCCAATCACACACAAACACACACACTCACACTCACGGGGGTCCCCATGCCACAGTCAGGTCTGGAATCATTATTTGAGCAAGAGGCAGCAAATGTGCATGAACATAGCTCCACATATGATTCTCACATTCACTCTTCATCAACTGCTGCTGTGGCCTGAGATTCAAATTCTTGTTAAAACACAAATACCTTTGGAAGGGTAAAACCTTGAAGCTGTTACCAATTATAAGCATCTTAGTAATGTTGACTTTTTCAGGTCTATTCCTGAAGGTAGATTTTGATGAAGATGGAGGGAAAGAATACAAGGATTTTAGTACAAGGAGGAGGAGTGATTTGAAAAAGAAAAACAACACCTATAAGAAATCTGTACTGGAAGTGCCAAGCTCATCATTTTGCATAAGCTAGCCCCTGGCACTGTAAGGGTGCTTTTACCAATTCCAAAAAATAATTAGGTGCTATTGGTGAGTAAAGTTTAAAAGTTAAATTGCTCACGTTTTAACAATAGCTGAATAGTCAATGCAGCAGAAAGCAGCCATTTCATTAGTGCTTTTTGCAAGACCAGTAAGTGGTTCATTATCAATTATGCAGCACTTATGCAGATTTGCCTTAGACTTACACCTCCAAGGCCACACGTCCCACATTTCTTAATTTTCTCCTGGATTTAAATGGCTGGTCTCTGATGTGTTCTCATTCCAACAAGGTGGGTCAGTTCAGAAGGGAAAGAGGCAATTTCTGCCACAAAAACTAGTTTTTAAATGGAATGCATTTTAACTTCTTACCTGCTAGGTTGCAAAGCTAGCTCACTCCTTTGAAGAATGAGGTGAGAAATAGATAAGTTTTCTAATGTCTGAGGTAGAGGTCACAGGAGCTTTTCATCAGAGAATAATAGTTGCCTCAGATCGGCCTGGTATCCCCTCGAAGACCCAAGAAATGCAGCAGAAGCTCTGCATGTATGTCAGAGAATAGAACATAATTTGGGCAGCTGTAATATGTGCTAGGATTTTTCGGTATTCGGAGGCTTAAATCTGCTTTCTCATCTTCAGTTTATCAAGGACTGAGGAGGAGAATATTTCTTACAGACTTGTTATAAAACAGAATCACTTAAATGTAAAAAGACAGAGGAGAAGACTAATTGTTCTATAGGCCTTGTTCATTCTTAAAAGAAATTGGAGTAATGAGAATAGGAAAAGGTCAGTTAGAGAGATAGTGCATGATTAAGTAAAGAATTAATCAGTGCTATTCAAACTCTCCCCTCCACTTTCTGGTGTAGACTGTGAAGTGACTCATGTTGATCGAGCTAGTTAACAAAGGCAATATCAGTCTGAAGAGTCAGAGAATCATTAAGTAGGGCAGTTCCTGAGTTATTTGAGGGTGATACACCCCTCACCGGAGTAGATTATGGTAAGGCATGATTGTCCCTGACTCTGATTCAAGGAGCATGTTGTTCAGACTCAAACTGCAGGACCCGCCCCACCTCCACCTCCTGCCTTCTCAGAACTCCTGGAGCATCCATGCTGCCCCTGAAGTGTCCCTTTTTTAAACTGGAGTGACATGACACCTTCTTCACAAATACCACTAAGCCTGAGCATGTGCTCTAGGTAAGCCTGTGTTGGATGAAAGGGCAATTCTATTGTCTTTCTAGAGGTCATCACTTTTGTGAGGAACCTAACATTTTGCTGATGTCCTGACAAAGTGATATAGACTATTAGAGCTGAAAAGAAACTTCTGTGACACCAGGACCATCTTACTGATGAGAACACTGAGGTCCATGAGGTTAAGATTATAATGCTGACACAGAAACTCAATGGACAACTTAAAATAGTATGCACTTTGCTATGATATTATTTACTTACCTCATCTTCCTGAGTGGGACAGGGAAATCATTGCCATTTTTAAAAATTAATAACTGGGGCTCAGAGAGGTTAAATATTTTTTTAAAGAGCATTTAGGAAGTGGTCATGTTTTGCTGTTTGACTTCAAAGAGTATTTTTTCCTTATATATAGTTGTTTCTCAACATTGGCTGATGTTCAAAAGCCCCAGAGAGTGGAAAGCTGGCTTTGGAAGCAATGTCGTCCACAAGATCCTCTGAGGTCTGGAGTCATTTGGAAACCAACTTGGGTTTGAATAAAGACAAATCAGAGTCTGGACTTACTTCATTCCAGCCACCCTTTTGGCTTATGTGATGCATCCTAATTAATCTGAACTTAGACCCAGCTCAAAAATCAACCTTCAGTCTCAAATCCTACTTGGAATTAGTCTTGCTCTGAACCACAATCCCAGGCAACCACTGATCAGTCTCTAGAAATTTATATTTCCTTGAAACTTTATATAAACAGAATCATAATATATACTGGGCTCTTTTAATTAGTGTGATTTTTTTTCAGGTTCATTCATATTGCATTATGTTTTAGTAGCTTACCTCTCCTCATTACTAACCAGCAATCCATTGTGTCAATGCACTTCGAGAAGAGAGCTTGAACTCTTTAGCTCCACTCTTTAGCTCCATGAACTTTTATACCTATCCCCTTCTGCTGCCATGCTTCCTCCTTCCCCAGCCTGTCATTTTACTCTGGCAATCCTGGACTACCTGTAGGTTCCAGGGTACTATGTTCCCTTTTTCAATGTGTCTTTTCTGACAATAATAGGGATGCAAGTAATATATTAAAACTCTAATCACTTGTAACACCCTTATGCCGCATTTTCCCAGCCCAAATCATATTCTGTGCTATTCATTTCTTTCTTCATTCATTTCATTCTTCATTTAATTTTTCTTCAAAACTCAACTCACAAGTCCCCTACAAAAATTTCCCTCACACAAAACTGTACCACCCAATTCTGGCCTGGCAACTGGTAGCCCTCCTAACAAACAATAGGCAGGTCCACAGCCTCTTCTTCTCATCTCTTTATTTCATAATCTCTTTTTTTGTTTGTTTGTTTGTTTGTTTTGTTTTTTGAGGGACCCTCGCCGGCGGCCTGGGAACGAACCGGCGCTGCAGAGGCTGTGGGCAGCCTCGCAGCCCAGCACTCAACCGCTGCGCCACCAGGGGAGGCCCTATTTCATAAACTCTTGCTACAAGCTGTCTTTTCTGTCAGGTTATAAGGTCATTGGAAGAAGAAGCCGTGTCTTTCTGTCTTTATCATCTAGCACAATATTCATATTGTACTTACAAATATTTATATAAGCATATGCTTATATATATTTATATTTGATTATATCTATAACATCTGTATCTATAATGTTTTTCCAGTAAGGCAGAAACAATCTCATTGAGCTTTATCAGAAACACAAGCACTAGCCAAGCATGTCCTCCTAAGAAGTCTCAGTTTTATCTCATCGAGGATCCTCCTTCCAGTCTCTAAATTTTGATACTTACCAGTTCTTTATCTATTGCCCTAACCTTAGTGGTGGTAGCTGCTTCTGGCAGTTATTACTTCCCTGTCTATGTTTTTAGTTCTTCAATAATAGTTCATTAATAATAGTTAGCAATTCCTCTTATTAAAAGCTTTCTGTTTAGATGCACAACGTGGGTTCTGTGTGCTAACTCCTAACTGATGTCTTCCACATAGGGTTGTTGTGAGCATTAAACTAATTGTCCACGGAAAGTACTGGTACATTGAAAGAACTCAGTAAGTGCTAACTGCTGGTTTTACTTATTAATTGTTCCATTGCTTAGGAAGAACTGAGTATCTGTTATGAATATTTCCTCTTACTTATTGACTTATTATTTTTCTTCAGGAGTAATAAAGGAAAGGCTAATCACAAAAGCCTTAAGTTTGTTTTTATTGGAAGGGGGGAGGTTTTATACTTATGTATTCTTTTGGAATTCTTTTCAAATTCTGCAGGAGGCATAGGAATGTGGGTCCACAGATCTGGGGATTATTTGCTCTCACAATTGCAACTCTCACATCACTTTCTAACTGGTAGAGAAAAATTCCTCTAGAGAAAGCATTTTGCCTGTGAGTTGTCAACATTAAGTCCCAAACAGAAAACTGAACAGAGCTGAGTATATATGGAGAATAGACTCATTCTCTTTGGCATTTGTTTTTTCCTGAATTCAATCCCAAGCAATATTGTGGTTTCCATATGCTCCTTCTTCCTGGTTTCTTTTATACTGTCTCTTTCTAAAATGTCTATTTCTGTTAAATATTCCAACATGTTCCTCTGCTTATCATGGACACTTTCCTCTCATTATTTCAGATGTCCTCTGGTTAAATGAGAACGCTCCATTTTATTTCTCCATTTGGTGATCCCAGTCTATTGCTCCCCCTAAATCCTTTGCTGTTTATCTGGTCAACATATTTTCAAAATGTCCTGTAAGGCAAAAGAGTAAGTTTGTGGTTATTGATCTCCTGAGAAGCACTAGAAATTATCCTTAATGTTATGGAACTGTGGGAAAAGAGACATTGGGCAATTTGTTTCTATACCTAGTAGAAGCTATTATTTATGAGACTGATTGGGGTATCTATATTAGCCAACATATTTGAATTTTAGCTAGAATCCAGGGGGTGAAGATTGTGTGTGTGTGTGCACGTGTGTGTGTGTGGGGGGGAGAGTGAGCGTGCACCTGTTTGGGAAAGGAGGTGGGTTTATTTTTTTTTTTTTATAGAGGCATGTTTTTTATTTATTTATTTGTTTGTTTGTTTTGTTTATACATGCACTGGGTACAGTCAGAAGCGCGGGAGGGTGAGAGAATTCACCAGAGCCAGAGCGGGGAGCAGAGCAGGCAGAAGGACCGAAGGACACTGCTGAGGGGAGCAGCGGGCGGCAGGAGAGGTCTGCGCGCCATGTGGGACCCGCCTCCAGTGGCCGGGGAGCAGCCGGGGATTGAACCAGCGCTGCAGAGGCTGCGGGCAGCTTCGCAACCCAGCGCTCAACCGCTGCGCCACCGGGGAGGCCCAGGAGGTGGGTTTAGGAGGAGTCAATGAAAGAGCAATAACTGATGATTGCCCTGTGCTTCATTCAGGTAACCTGCTTCAGGCATACTTACTGTAGTAGACAAAAAGAGTCTGTTTCAGCAGCATTAGGAGCTATGCTGGGAAGACCCTTTGAAATGTTGTACTTAAATGGTTTCATCATAGTTTGACTAGACTTAAGAGGCCCACCCATAGCTATAAGTTTATTAAATTCATTATGGAAGAAAGTAGAATTTTTCCCTCTTCTGTTTCAAATATGCTCACACAATTGAGCTAAATCTAAAGTAAAAGAATATTAATGAAGTAGAACTGATTTATATCAACCAAGAGAAAAAGCTGGTAGAGGGCCACCATCGAGGTTTCTAGTCCATAATAATAGGAATATATAAATGTAGATAAAGATAATTAAAAAGAGTGAAAATTTCTCCTTTCTTTGTTGCTACAGAATGAAATATGCCAACAATGTCCCTCACAGGATCTTTTTTGTATTCTTTATATAGAGAGAGTATTTCATAGGGAAATGGAAGATGACAAGCAAAAGATAATTCATATTCCTTCTTTTCTCTTTTAGTCTACTTGGATAAAGTCTTTCCCATGGGATTTACCCCCTTTATTTTCTGAATGCTACAGGGTCTTCCTTTATTGTGTACTATGTGCTATTTGGCTCTTTTTATAAGCCTGCCAATTTACTCCTACGGTCTGTTAGTATTTAATTATCCAACTACCTCACAATTAAAACTTATTCCAACTGTTGAAGAATTGCTGTCTGGCACTTATTTATCTCTTTCCTTTACATATGATAAACATCTAGGGATTTCTTGATATGTATTTTTTTAATTCTAAGTTTCCAATACTAATTGATGACGGCAGACAAAAACATGTAGCCAGATCATTAGTGAAGGATTTTTCAAGCTGAAAATAATTGGGAAAGAAGAGATTTAGGAAACTAAAACTCAAATGGCCTGGTAACCATTCAGAAAGAACAAACTAATGTTACACTTGTGAAACTTTAAGTGTCTGATTCTTATTATTACATGAAAGAAGAATGAACTTTGAAGTCACAATGATTTAAAATATTTAGAACTTTAAGGGTTTTTTTTTTTTTCACAATATATGCATGCACAATTGATGACTGGTGACACTGTGCCCTTGAGCTGGTTTATATTCTCAGTGTCTCCAAGGTGTCATGGTGATGGCCCTCACACATCCAAAAGCTTGATGATATTCTCTCTGGAGCCCATCTGTGAACCATTGGATCAGATGGGAGAGTCACAACCAAACAATGGGTTAAATGAGATTTGCACAGAACCTTCCACCTTCTCCAGTTTGAATTTGCAGTTGTTACTTGTTTTTGTCTTATCCTGGTTTCAGCATCATTTGCACAGGTACCATTTATTCCCATCTGAGCAGACGGCTCACCTTCGGACCTTCTTCTGTTCCACCCGGAGTCTGAGCATAGTGCTAGTCCCTCAGAACACTTCTGAGGCAGGAAGTTCTCTGGCCCTGAGGGGGAAAATACCTGACACCCCAAATATCTGATATTCCAAAATCTTATCCTGGTTATTTTTTTAAGATTTCTTTTTATTTATTTATGAATACAGAACTGGGGTGGGGGCCAGAGGTGCAGGGGATGAGAGGATTCACCAGAGACAGAGTGGGGTACAGAACCGAACCGGCAGATCTACTGAAATACACTGCTGAGGGGAGCAGTGGGTGAGACAGGAGAGGTCTGCTGCACCATGTGGGTTAGCTCCCTGACCTGAGATTGAACTCATACTGCAGTGGCTGACTATAGCTTCATAGTGCTGAGACTTAACCTTTTATATGCTGAGACTTAACCCCTTGCGCTACCAGGGAGGACCCAGATCCTGGTTGTTATTTAGCATACTAAGGAGGTAAAACAGCCACTAGACTGTATTCTTCCTTAGGGGCTCCTGAAGTCTGTTCTCTATTCTTCAGAGTCCCCTGTGTAAGACCCCTTTATAATTTTCTCCAAATTTAAGATTTTCCTTAGACTAATTCTTCTTTCAAGGATCTGTGGCTCTCCAAGCTGAAGACATACTGTTGAGTATTGTAAATTGTGGGACTGAAATAAAAGCTCTGGTCTTACTTCATGGTTAAAAAAAAAAAAAAAAGAGTGAGATTTAAATTTTGCTCTAAGTGGTGTACAGATGAGAATCTAATGTATTTCTAGGACTGTCATTTGTCTTGTTATAGCAACATTTTCTAATGATGACCACATTTTCAGTGTGCAAATGTGCTTTCTTTGGTCATTTACTGTGTGAAAACAATTTTTACTTTGTAGGAGATAAAATGGAGTGTCTTGCACAGACACTTCCCACCTTTTTTTCTCATGGAGATTATCTTGTGTGTGGTGGAAAGTCAATGGTTTTAATAGTTAGGGCAGCCCTTGAACTGAGGGAGGATGAAGGATAGGTAAGTGAAATGTTGTCAAATTGTTAGAAATTTTAAAGATTCCAGAGTTAAATTAAATCATTCCTCTTGAACTATAATATAAATATTATACAATTATATATTTTTCTTTAAAGATTGACATTTATAAAGATGGAAGCTGAAAGACATTTTCTACATTTCTAGAGGAATTATTGAAAACTTATTCCCTAAGACAATTACTAAGGATCCTTTCTTCACATATGGGAATGATTTTTTCTGTGAGAATTCTTATGCTAAAGTATTTATTGTAATAAACATTCATAGTAATGATGTTTCACAGACTCAGAACAATAGAATTTCATACTAATATGACTTTTTGAATGAACTTGGGGTGACAGCCTTTGAATGTTTAGAGATCAGAAGGATAATGCCCCAAAACACTTGTAAGGGACATATTTTCTTTTCCATTCTAGTAATTTATAAACTTTAGAATACTTTATAGAAAATCAAATTATTTATTTTCCTTTGCTATTAGAGATACCACTTACCTTTTTTTTGTCTTTTCCCTCTCACCACAAAGTCAATATAGAGGTATATTCATTTGATTTTTTTTTTTATTTTTAATGATCTGGCTTAACATCTTTTTTCCTATATAACAGCTTCTAAACATTAGTAATCTAGGTACTGTGTTTCTAAATAAAAATATTTGATGAATAGATTTTCTGTCTTTTTATCTTAACCAAGTGACCACTCCTGGGTAGCCTTTCTGCAAATGGTTTATAAACCTTCTTCTTCAGGATGCTTATTTCAAATTCATCACCATTGTAATCATTCTTCATATTTTATGCAATGACTTTTATGAATAGGTCATCTTTCTTCTTTTTACTGAATACTTTTTCTTAATTTTGAAATCATGGAAAAGTATTTTATGTATCTCAAAGGCACTGCAGTGTTCTTTCTTCAAGATTGTGCATAATGCAATACCTTTTTCAGATGTCAGCAATTTTTGTTCATTAATAGCAACCTCCCTTTAAATGATGATGCACAACATGGAGGGACTTTGATCCCTGGAGCTAGGAGAGGGGGGGAAAGGAGAGAGAAAGAGAAAGAGAGAGAGAGAGAGAGAGAGAGAGAGAGAGAGAAGGGGTGAGTTATGTCTTTTGAAAAACCACATTCAGTACATATACTCTATTTTTTTCATTATATAAATTACCAAAAAATGATGTTAAATAAAATCTTAGCAGTTAGGGACATTAAAAAAAAACTGGGTAAAAATCACTGGAGGGGATATAACTAAAAATGAATAAACAGCTTGCTTTGGGGCAAGAAGTCGATTATTAGTTGAAATGGAAGTAATGTTTATGTGAGCTGCATATTGTTATATTTGACATTAAGTTGTTATCTTCACAACTGCCATAAATAGAATGTATTTATAAATATGTATCCATAGGAATGTCATTGGGGAAACTGAAATATGGTACAAATGAGTTAGGCTGTCATATCTATTCTGTGACTATGGGAACAATTAATTCTCAATATGCAGATTTTTGGTTTCTCTTGGCTGACATTATATTCCTGGGTCATCTCTAACTAGCTTCTGTGTATTCAGAGAATGTAAATCAAGGTTACTAAAAAGAACACAGTGAGAAGATAAATCTTTAAGAAGTCAGAAAAAAAACCTGATCACTCAAAAGTAATAAAGAAAACATTATTTAAATCTATGTCTCACCCCACACTTCCAAAATATTACAGAATCTGTAATCAAGTTACATTGACTCTTTCTTTTATTTTTCCTTTTATCCAGGAATTGACTATTACAGCCCATTGCATCTTTTCTTTCCAAGAGCCCTCATTTAGGGTTTTTACACTTCTAAGGATCATTAGCCATCACAGATCTAAGGTCATAGGGAATAGTGATGAGAGTTGAAACTTAAATGGTTATTAGTAAGAAGCTATAGAAAAAAAAAAACGAGAAAAAAATTTGAAAAGGTCTCAAAGGTTGCAATTTGTGAATAAGTTTTGATTTCTGTTCATCACCCTACTGTATTACCCTAACACATGTAAGAAATTCAACACCTCGATTTCTAAAATGTAAAAGTATGCATTTTTAAATTTATAGTTTAAGCTCAAACATTAGACAAATGTCAGATTTATTACACTTAATATTTATTTGTGGATACTATGATTTAAATCAAAATGTAAGATTATTTTACAGATATACAGAAATATACACTTATGTAGAACTATTACAACATAACAATAAATATCTGAATGTGTAATATTAGATATGTTTTAAACACAATATATGTAAATATATTCTTGATATTTTGTTCTGATTAGGCATTTTTCCAGAAATATGTTTGTTTTTAAATTGTCTGATTTTATGTTTACTTGATTGTCCCATTGGAATTTTACTCAGATGTAATTTTAAAATACATTTCCTTAAAATCATAGAAAAAAGAGTTTATTGGGAATACATATCTTCCATTAAGTTAAATTATTTGCTATCCTATCCTTTAGGGAGTTGTCTTCCTAAAGAATATAATACTAATAAATGAGCAAATGGTGATCATTTGTTTGTACTAACTTTATTAGTTACTCAAATGGAAATAATAGAATAACTGTTAAAGGACTAGAAATAAAGACTTCTATAATCAACACATTCTGCTTTCCCATCATGCAGATTGACCAATTGTGTGTTGTAAATATTACCACAAAAGGAAATATTTTTAGTATAATCATGAATGACAAAAGAGAAGCAGGGAAAAAACCTGTCTCTTCTTTTCAGTTTAGAAAATGGCTCTCCTGTGACCTTTCAAACATTTTCTTTTGCTCTAAATATTTTGATAATAAAAATAAGACAGTAATTACTTTTTTGTGAAATAAGTCAGATCTCTCTCTAGAGAAATGAATCAGTGAGGCAGTTTTGCTCCCTGGCAGGGGCTGCATTTTGAACACCTCCAGCTTTCTTGTATCCATCTGGGTGAATATTCAGACTGGAGGAGGGTCTCCTGTGGCAGCTTCATTTCAGAAGCCCCATCAGGCCAGTCCTCTGAGCGCTGACACCCTTAGCTTGCCCTCAGAGCTGACACTGCCAAGGACTCCAACTCTGGACTGGAAGCTTATTCTGAAACTGTGGGCTCACGGGATAGAAATGCACTGCCCTGTCTCTCCCCTTCTGCAGGACCATTCTCTAGCCCCAGCCCCTGACAGGGAGTTATTCCAGCAGTCATGTGTTATATCACATGGCCTCATGTCAGCAGCAGCTGATACTCAGCTGAATTCTCACGCTGACCAGCCACCTCTGCTGTTACCTGTCACACACCCGTTACATACACAATAAGCTAAATTGGGTACAAGATTCCTGCCAATTTAAACCAAGGAATGCCAAGGCAAGGAGCCCATGAGTGGTGACAGTTGAGGCTAAACTGTCTTTGTACGGACAAGTGAAACTGCTGAGTGTATTAGTGTTCTGTTGTTGCAATAACAAATTATAACAAATTTGGTGGCTTAAAACAACACAAATTCACTCTCATGTGGTTTGAAGAAGTCCAAAATGGACTTCGCTGGGGCCAAACTAGGGTGACTGCAGAACTGCACCCCTTGGAAGTCTTTAGGGGAGAACCTGTTTCCTTGACTTTTCCAGGATCCAGAGCTCTATATTCCACATCCTTGGTTCATTGCCTTTTTCTCCATCTTTAAAGCCAGCACGGTCATGTCTTTCAGTCTCTCTCTGCTTCTGTTGTCAGGTCACTACCTATTTTCCTGGTCTCCTGCCTCCCCCTTATAAAGTTCTCTGTGATTATATGGGACCCACCTGGATAACCCAGGGTAATCTCCCTATCTCAAGATCCTTAACCTAATTACACATGCAAAGTGTTATTTGCCAGGTAAAGTAACAATTAAGGTTCTGGGGATTAGGACGTTGGCATCTTGGGGGTATTAGAACAGCCAAGCCCAAAAAGAGTAAAAAATATGAGTCATGAAAACATATGAGATATAAAACATACATGAAGTACAGAGAAGAGATGTCAGTTTTATCAATGAGAAGGCAAGCAGGGTAAGGTTAGAGGGAAGGCTCAAGGTTTCCTGTAGCTACAGTACCCATATCCAGAAACACACTCCAGTGTGTGCTTTTTCTGTAACCTGAAAGTCAGCTTTATCTATGTGTGGTTATCCAGAAAATAAATTGCTGCTGCTGGAGGAACTTGAGTTGTCTCTGATGCTTGTAATTAAAAGGACCTGGTAGAGGAAGAGGCCTATCTATGATTCTTTCCCGTAAAAGTGGGTGGCAGAGCAGAAATGCCTGCTAATTGTCTAGGCATATATTGTATAATTATTTTACAATTCTCTAAGAAAATTGGTGATTTTTTTTCCTTTTGAATTTTAAATAGCAACAGCTATAGTTTAATGAAATGAGCTCTGGCTATAGCAAAGAAAATTTGCCTTAAATGAGACTTTGATCCTTAATAGCTATGACACTCGCAAGTCAACTGGCCCAGATTTGTTTTCTTGATTTCCCTGTAATGGGGATTACGCTACCAAGTTGTTGGGAAAGTACATGTTGTTGAACATGAAAGTTCTTTGAACCACAAAGAGCTACTTCTCTGTATTGTGACTGACATAGGAATCTAATGGATTTCTTATAACCTCAAAGTATAGCAAGATCCCCCATAATGTCATAGGTTATTCTGATAAATAACGAATAAGAGATTGTATCAGGATAGCGCAGTTTTGCAAAAGAATTAAGGTTTATCAACAGAGCAACTTAGGAATCAGAATAGGAGAGAAAATGAGAAGCAGCCATAAATGGCAAAGTTCAAATTTAATTTAGAGTATGTGATCATTTGCCAGAAAACTATATATGGGACAGGCAGATGGGGAAGGGCTGTGTACAGATGACAGGCTTAAGGTTATTTTACCAGAGTCTCAGATAATGGATATTGCCAGTTGTCTCTGTGAGAGAGTTGGAGTTTAGTTATGAATTTACATCAAACAAAGCACCTAAGTTCCCATGGTTCTTATTTGCCTATATTTTGAACTTGAAAAGAGAATAAGAAACATAAAGGAAATAAGATAAATGTACCTTATTCGAACTGGAAAGGAAAGAAGCATTTGGAAATGAATGGTACAATCCTGTTCTATTCTGAAAGAAATAAAAAGCATTTTGTCTTTCTCTGTTTGAGTAAATAGGCATCCAAGATTTTCTCTGTGAGCATGAAGACACAGAACTCTAGGCACCAGCCAAAATAGGACTTAGTACATAAAATCTGTGATGAAATTTCTAGAATTTACATAAAATCTCCTAACATAATCTTGGCATTTAACAAAATGTCCAGCTGAGTAAAGGCAGCAAGTTTGGGAGCTCTCAGGAGAAAAGGAAGGAAAGCACTGGCTGTGATTCTTTTTTTCTTAGAACAGACATCCTAGTCCAGGTTACCCCAAGAAGCAGCTTCATTATGCTGATGCTACGGCGATCTCAGGATGGAAATCTATTTTGATTTTGGTGGAGCTCTGATTTATATAAATTAGTGCCTTATAAAGTACTAACGATGGAGCACTCACTGAAAATTCACTCTAATCTGTCCTTTTATAGTTATTGTTTTCACAAAACTGTTAAGATAGAAAGTGCATTTATAAAAGGTACTGTCCTTCCATTTTCACAGTGGGTGTTATGGACTGAATGTGTGTGTCCCTACCACATCCATGTGTTAAAATCCTGACCCTCAGTTTGGCTATATTTGGAGATGGGCCCTCCAAGGAAGTAAGTTTAAATGAAGTCATAAGGTCGGAACCCTGATCAAATAGAGTGGGTATCCTTAAAAGAGGGGACACCAGATCATTCTCTCACGCATGCTCTCTCCTCCTCCCTCCCTCATGTGTACTCATGACAAGAAGGTGTCCAATTGTGACAGCAGAGAAGAGCTCTCCCAGTCAGCCATCCTATTGACACCTTGATCTTGAAATTCCAGCTTCCAGCACTTTGGAAAAAAAGTTTTGCTACTTAATTCACCTAGTCATGGCATTTCGTTATAATAGCCTAAACAGACTAAGACAAGGAGTGACCTAATTT